TGTGTGTGTGTGTGTGTGTGTGTTCTGTGTGTGTGTGAGTGTGTGAGTGAGTGATTGTCATGCCGGTGACCTGCTGTCATGAGGCTGATGGAGCTGCATTCCAGCGCCAGTGTGAACACATCCAGATGAACACCTCACTGCTTCAGTCTGCACACTACTGAGGGTTTGAGAGCGTGTCAGACACTGAAGAAGAACTCAAGCTATCATACACACTGTCATCATTACTAGCGCTTCCACACGCATTCCTTATGTGTCCTGAAGACAGATCCGTTCAGTAGCTCACAATGATCCATTGTTATATTTCATTCTATATCAAGTCATTTTACTGTTTCTGTACGATCAATTACTAAAATACATTTCCTGAACTATACACACTCAATATCTGTACAGAACAGCAGACAGCTTCAGCTCAAACTCTGTCAGAAGCACAGACGCTTCAGCTGCTCAGGTTACTCTGGTCATCTCTCCAAGCTGTGTGTGAAGATTGACTTCTACAGTGAGCTTTTCTACCGTACACTGAACGATCTTAGAGAGGAACGCAGTAATACTCTGTGTTTGTCATCTAATATCATAACATCATAAGCTCCTCTGTGTGCCAGATATTTGGAGACTCATAATTATGACTTCAGGACAAATGGCATGTTAATCAGGCATTTTGGGGAAATATTCTTATTAAAATGTTGCCAACTTATTACTCCCATTATTAAGTTTCTCTTTGCCCCAAGAACACATTCATATGCAAATTAGATGCAATCTATAGATACATTGAATATAATGGGAAAACTAATTTATGGATATTTTATGCACATATTGCATTAAGTACAGAAGTATATCAAATCATTCTGTGACATCTTTCATAACATGAGAATCATCTTTGTACAAAATTAGTCTCAAACCTAACAACTGATTGGTGAATGAAAAAATAAAACATTGTTTTTGCCTATACATGCCTTTTCATCTGTATTTATTTGTTCTGAATATCACAGTAAAATATGAATAAAATATATATTTTTTCACATGTTTTCTCTCCGTTTGTTTCTTATGCTCTACCCAGTGTAATGACAGAAAACAACCATTCACAAAACCCTTGTCTGCTTCTCAGGAGGTTATGAGTTTCAATATTGTAATTATGACATTCTAAGTCAAAGTATGTCATTATTGACAAAAAGTCGAAATTATGAAAGTCAATAATTCATAAAAAGTCAAAATAATGACAATTTCAAAAAGCTGAAATGAAGACTTTAAGTCAAAATTATGACGTAATAAATGTGAAATTACAGATAAAAAGGCTAAATGATTTTTAATCTAATAAATACAACGTTATGACTTTCTAATTAGTATCCGACGTCATACTTTTGATTTTTGATCCCATAATTATGCATTGACTTTCTATGCATTGCTTCTAATTTTTAAGCCACAATTTCGGCTTTGCATCTCATAATTACCACCTGCCAAACCTCTCAGAACTATGACCTCTCAGAAGAACCGAGTGTCTAAAGGATGGATATCTGTACAGTTTTGCGGATGCGTTTTTCTTCTGAGAGCTGGATGGATTATTTGAGGCTTGTAGCGAACAGAAGGAGTTTTAGTGTGCCGAGGAAGGTTATTCATCATCATCATCATCATCTTCACACTCGCGTGACGCTATGAAGGGCTGTGTAGATGTGCTGTGATGCTGCGAGAGTCAGGACTCAGGTGAGACGCTCCTGTCTGTCAGCGCCAATCACAGACGCGGAAGAGTTCACTTAAAGGCGACGCGTTGGCTTTCTGCGGCTGAAGATCCTCCGCTCCGCTGCACGAGACTCTTCAGCTCTGAGCTCGCGCTGCTCTGCTTGTGTGTGGTGACCGCAGGTGAGTGAGATTTTGCGTGCTTTAGGAGAAGATCGGCATTGAAATGTAACGCTGTTCTCTTCGTGTACCTTTGCTAAATCCGAAACGAGTGTTTTCGTTTGTTCTTGCTCTGAAGTGTGTGTGTGTGAGAGAGAGAGAGAGAGAGAGAGAGAGAGAGTGTGTGTGTGTGTGT